TTAATTTAGGTAATATTGAATCTTCTAGCTAATAATAGGATGTGTCTTTCATTTTATTCAATTCTTTACTTTTTTTTAATGTTTATTTTTGAGAGAGACAGAGAGCAGGCATAGGGAGGGATAGGAGAGAGGGAGACACAGAATCTGAAGCAGGCTTCAGGCTCTGTCTGAGCTGTCAGCAGAGTCCAGTGCAGGGCTTGAACTCATGAACTGTGAGATCACGACCTGAGCCAAAATCAAGAGTCAGACATTTAGCCAATAGAGTCACCCAGGCACCCTGAATTCTTTAATTTCCTTAGTAACATAAAATTTTCTTAATAAAGGTCCTGTACAGTTTTTGCTAGATTTATTCTAATGGTGTGTTTTTGTGTTAATATTGTTAAATAGAAATTTTTCTTCTATCATCATTGTAACTCTTAAATTTTTTCCAGCTTTTTGGGAAATTGACAAATAAATATTGTATGTATTTAAGGTATACAGCATGATAATTTAATATATGTGTATGTTGTAGTTATTACTACAAATTAATTAATACATGCATCACCGTATATAGTCTTTTTTTGTGTGTCATAACACTTAAATGATCTATTTTTTTTTTTAAGCAAACTTAAGTTATACAGCATAGTGTATTAACTGTAGTTACCATGCTATACATTAGATCCCCAGAATTTACTCATAACTGGAAGTTGGTGACCTTTGACCAATATCTCCCCATTTTCCCCACCCTCCAGCCCCAGGCAACCACTGTTCTACTCTCTGGTTCTACAAGTTTGACTTGTTTAGATTCCACATATAAGTGAGATCAGAGATTATGCAGTATTTGTCTTCCTATGTCTGGCTTATTTTACTTAGCATAATGCCCTTCACTTTCATCCATGTTGTTGCAAATGGTGAATGGTAAGTGTACATAACACAAGCAGTTGAATTTTTGTGTATGTACTAATTCTGTAATCTTTTACATTATTGAATTATTTTGGTGCTTCCAGTAGCTTCTCTGTTAATTCTCTTACGTTTCCTTGATGCATCTACAAATGGCTTTGCTACTTCCTTTTCGTTTTTAGACTCCCCCTCCCCCCCAGTGAATTGGTAGTTAATTCCAGAAAATGTTTTTTAAAATGGTGGGCGTTTTTGTCTTGTTTTTGACTTTAATGAGAATATTTCTGCTTTCAATATGATGCTGTTTTTTAGCTTGAGATTGCTGTTGTCTGGCGTGAAATATATATTCTTTTAAATCTTGTTTTATTAAGAGCTTAAAAGTCAGGAATTGCTGTTGAGTTTTGTTACCTGTATATTCAACATCTATGGAGATAGTCATTCTGTTTTTTCTCCTATGACTTGTTAAATTAATAGTACTTGTATAATATACATCAACCCTTGCATTTCTGGGCTTATGGAATAAGTCTTGTAATGTATCAGTGGACTATATTTACAAAAATTTAAAAAAATATCTGATGTTTTATTTATGTGGAGGATATTAACTTTGTCATGTTTGGGTATCGGTGTTCTGCTGGCTTTGTAAGAAGTTTTTTCTTCTGTGCTCTGGAGCAGTTTAAATTGCATGTGGTTCTCTGTCCTTGGAAAGTTTGGTAGAATTCTCCTGGGAAAGCAGTTAGGCCTGGGCCTTTGGAGAAGTAGCCTTTGGCAACTTTCTCACTTTCTTTTAGGGTCATTGTTCTGGTTGAATTTGACGTTTTTAGTCTTAAAACTCCCATAAGTCTCAATAGAAATAAGCAAAACTCAGATAGGACGGTTTCACAGAAAGAGCCTGGGCTTTGAGGGCTGGTCCTGTTTGAAACACAGGCCTCTCATTAAGGTTAGTGTTTCATCTGTAAGAGTGGGGCTCACGCTTAGCTTGGGGTTTGTTGTGGGTATTAAATAACCTCATGTATGGGATAGCGCCTCACTGCGTCTGTCTCAGTGTTGATATTTTATACATGTTAGATCTTTCATCCGATTCTGTTCTGTTACTTCGTTTTTATTTGTGGCTTTATTGATCCTATTTGTGTAACAGTCCTTTAGTGTGAAATGTTCATCAGTGTCCTTCAGACCTACTTGAGATCACCCCCTTTTAACAATAATAATCACAATTTGATGCATTGTAGTATTTGTTCATTTAAGTAATCTCTGCACCTAGGCTTGAACTCATGACTCTGAGTCAAGAGTCTCATGCTGTTCGGACTAAGCCAGCCAGGCGCCCCTGATGTCCTCATAATGCATTGTAACTTCATCTCAAAGTGTGCATTCTTTATCACTTTATGTGACTTGACTCCACAGACTTAACTATATGCCTGTTAGCCAGGCGTCTCCAATTCACTCAGGTCTTATGTAGTAGAGAAAAAGAAATTACTTATGCTGAAAATCCTGCTCACATCTTTTGGTATGTAGTTTTAGTGCGTTTGTCTAGAGGGTAGAGTGTGTAGAGACTAGAACCACGTCTTTCGTTATTTCCGTCTTGTTGGGATGTCTTTCAGTATTATTCTCTTTTCACTGCCATTGGAAACTCAAAGCTAAACAGAAAGCTATAACTCATTTTTTTCCAGTGAAAAGTCTGGATGCTCAGCTAGTAGGAAAATTAATATTTCCAGGGATTCAACAAATAATGCTTACGGAGAGGGGTGAGGATTGATGGCCAGGGAGTGAAGTGCGCTTCATATCTCAGTTGACAGGCTGAAAAAAATTTTTCTATAGAAACAGTGTTCACTTGTTTTCATATAAAAGTGTTGGAGAGCCTAGTTTTTAAAAAGCAACACTAGGCAGTGGATATACAAAGATAATGTAAAAGTTGCTTCGGGTCTTAAGATACTTGCAGAATCACACAGAAGATACATGTAAGCAGACAGTGGCAGGATAGTCTGATAAGAAACGTGACAGAGTACTGTGGATTTAGAGAGGGGAAGACCCATTAAGTGCTAGGGACGGTTATGGAAGATTTCATGTAGGAGGTGACATTTGAGCTGTGTTTGTATCTGGGAAGCATTTTACCAGGCAGAGGGAACAGCACATGCAAAAGCAGGAGAGTGTGGACAAGGTGGGATTAGGGATGGACAAGGTAATGTGAACCAGGGGCGGCATGAAAGAAAGGCCTTTGACTGCATAATAGTGTAGCACCCAATAGTTGTTGTTGGCTAGATGGGTGAATAAAAAGATGAATATTAATATATGCATGAGTCACTGTGACATAGGACCTGAGAGAATGTAATAACTACTTTTCCAAAGGAGAATGTATTCCAAATTTGAGCTTAAACAACAATCTTGGAAACACAGCCCTTGCTTGCATTGGGTAAGGCTCATTCTACATTAAATACTGATGTATCTCAGGGATTTTGTCTTCTGGTTAAGTTACACAAAGAACAATATATTAGCCTGAGAGTACCAAAATATAATGACTCCCAGAAAGGAAAAGTAATCCAGAACTTTCTATTCACCGAGATAGTTAGTGCTTATTCTTTTTTGCCATCCAACTTAGAAATTCATTTATTTCATCCAGGCCAGCGGTTTCAAAGTGGCGCTTTACACCCAGGAAGACACAAGACCGTTTATTTTGGGTTATAAGAAGATATTAACATGTCTATTAATACGACTTTTTATGCCAGTTTAATTTTTACTTTTGTGTATAGGTTACACATATACACATATATACACGTACATACAAGTACACACACTATACTCAACACGCACAAGTCTACAACATAGTCACTCACACATATATATTATAAACACACAAATAAAAGGAGTTTATGTGCTCCCCCCTGCTTTCTGTTTTTTCCTGGCACATGTAATTACAAATGTTGGAGATCACTGATTCAAGCCATCATTGCAAAAACATTTTCAAAGTGTTTTTAAAATATTTTATTTATTTTTAATTTATTCTTGAGAGAGCATGCATGTGTGTGAGCAGAGAAGGGGCAGAGGTTGGGGGGAAGAATCCCAAGAAGGCTCCGTACTATCACCACAAAGCCCAATGCGGGGCTCAAACTCATAACCCTTGAGATCATGACCTGAGCCAAAACCAAGAGTCAGACACTTAACCGAGCCACTGAAACATTTTTAAAATATTTTAAAATTCTGTCTGGGTTTTAAAAATAGAATACACTTCACTTAATACCATTTTAAAAGAAACACTTTAATGAAATAAAAATAGGTTGTAATTCATTTTTAATAACGAATGCACACTTGTGGGTACTTGAAATAGATTTTTCAATTGAGGAGCTTTTAAAGAACCATTCATAGCATGTTTTCTCGGTGAGACAGTAATTATTTCATAAACATCTTTGCTGCACCCCAAACCCTAATCTGATGTTTCCCTCCTAAATCGGCTAAAAACCTGTACTGCCTTGCCCACTGCTCCCCTGGTGCTGTTACTTGGCACAACACTGACACCTAGAGTCGGCTGTGGCTTATTTGCTCTGAGGTTGTGAGGCTTTCTGTCTAACCTTCTGCGTGGATCTTCTATATTTTAGCTCATATTCTTATCTGTTCTCCACCAGAAGAGGTAATATCTCCAAGGTACTTTTCAAGATGCCTTTCCCTCCCCTCCCCTCCCCTCCTCCCCTCCCCGCTCCCCTCCCCTCTCTCCCCTTCCCCTCTCTTCTCCATGGTTTCTCTAATTCAGACTTTGGCATTTCACTGCTGCCTTCTTCCCTCCCACCCAGCTTAGTCTCATTGGCCCGTCACTGTCACACCCATAAAGACAATTCTTCCACTCATGTCCCTCTAATCTTCAGGGTAACAGTCATCACGTACCTCATATGTTGAATGAAACAAATATAGGATATGTGTTATGAAAATGGAAGTTTTTAAAATGTTAGCCTACTCAGAATTTTCCTGGCAAATTAGGAAAGTATTTTTCAGTTATATTTTGTAGGGTTTTAGAATTTTGATAATTACATTTAGTGGTGATTTCCTTGTACTGTGGCATCCTTCCTTGTAGAGAATTATCTTTTCCATTTACTTGTGATTGTTTTTGTAAAGCCCTGTATGTCCATTAACACTGCCACAACTTCTGGATTTGGATTTTAATTGAAAACTGAAACATTTCTATGGTTTTTCATAGTTGGAAAGTGTTCTTCTTTATTCATAAGTGTTGCCTTTCTCCTGCAATAGTAAATAACAAGCCATAATTAAGATTATGTAACCAATGGTGCCCCACTGCAAGCAACATATAAACTACTATGCCCTCTTGCATTGTGCCCCAAGTACCCTCCAGTAATCTAGAAGGTCCAGTTACTAGTGTCCCTATATTTAGAGTAAGATGTGAGAACTGAAAATCAAATTTCTTTTCTTTCTTTTTTGTAAGCACTTTTTCATTCTTTGTTTTATTAAATGTATTAAGATTCCATTCATTGCATTTTTATTGTCCATTATTGTCACTGAAGTAACAGGGTTATTTGGCCTGTAGTGTTTTCCAGTCTGGGCTACGCTGATGTTCCTGTGTGCTCTGCTGAAAATTAATTTTCTTGTTCAGATGCTTTTGTGAGAGCTCTGGCTTACAATACTCACTCCTAGACTTGCCTTCAGGACACTTATCTTTCCCTGTTTGCAGAAGAAAATGCTCCAGCTTCAGCAAAAGAAGAGTGAGCAGGCATTTATAATTAATTCAGATGGTGTCTTAGGTAATTAGACCATTTCTTGACATATTTGTATACACACTGAAGTATGAAATGACTACTTAGACCATAATCTCTCCTGGATGAAAATCCTTTTCAAAAATTGGGTTTAAAAAAAACCTACACCTGGTATCAGACACTTATTAAATTTGCCCTCTTGGCTCCTGGTTAAGAGGGAAAATCCTTAGTAGTATATAAGTTCATTATTTTGTATGCATTTTAATTGAAATCTGAGGAGCCTGACTGTGCATCATGGAAACTGAGTGTGTGCTCTGCTAACACTAAAACAGCATCTTGTTTGAAAAAACCTGTTATATAGGACTTTAAAGGGACACTGTCAGATGTATTGTTCTTGCCCCTCCAATACTAAGACTGAAGAAATACTTAATTTTTATTTTAATTAGCTCATCTTTTCTAATGTGAATTTATTTCTGCCTTACTAGCAACAACTAGTGTTTTCTATAATTTGTCCCAAGTTCCAAATGTTTGGAACTTCTACTTATTTCCTACTATTGTGTGCAAGATACTATAGAAAGGGTCTCGGAATCCACAAAAGCATCCTTGTCTGAATTGAAAGCATTACCTATACACTGTGTTTCTGAAAGATTCCATGTCACTAAGAGGCCAGTCTGGTCTTGATTTAATACTGTGTCAAATATCCTTTGTTATGTATTTATCAAAACAGGTTCTATAAAAACATGCATCATATGTGTGAGTCCCGTTCAGACTCCTCCTCTCCAGGAAAACATGATTATCGACGGCCCATTGGCAGCTTAGCTCTTTTAGTCAAATATGCTTTTAAACTATTAAAAAGAAATTAAAAAAAAAAAAAAAGGGTGGGGGCCCGCCTGGGTGGCTCAGTCGGTTAAGTGTCTGACTTGGGCTCAGGTCATGATCTCACGGTTCGTGGGTTCGAGCCCTGCGTCGGGCTCTGTGCTGACAGCTCAGAGCTTGGAGCCTGTTTCAGATCCTGTGTCTCCCTCTCTGCCCTTCCCTCACTCATGCTTTGTCTCTCTCTGTCTCAAAAATAAATAAACTGTAAAAATTTTTTTTTAATTAAAAAAAACATGCTTTATATCTGCATTATGTCTTTCTGATGTTTTACACTTACAGATTGTGGTCTTGTTTCCACGGGTCCCTTATTATATAGGTCTTGAGCAGTTTCCTGAAAAATAGGCCGAGCACTCTTCTTCTGTAAACACAAATGGGGGAAAAATGCAGGTCTCTCTTAGGACTAGAAGTGATTATTATTGAATATCCTCTGAGCTTTTTCTTTTGTTATTGCTGCCAATCTGAGGAACTACCCCTTCACTCTACTTCCCATTAACTCTTGTATTCGGAGTGTGTGAGGTAGGGTTTGTAGTTCAGAACAATCTAATTTAAATCATAGTTTACCACTTGAGATTATCTTCAAGTTTCTCAGTAATAAGAAATGGTATCTGGGGGGGGGTGCATGGGTGGCTCAGTTTGTTAAGTGACAGACTTCAGCTCAGGTTGTGATCTCACTGTCCGTGAATTTGAGCCCCATGTCGGGCTCTGTGCTGACAGCTCGGAACCTGAAGCCTGCTTCGGATTCTGTGTCTCCCTCTCTCTCTGCCCCTCCTCCACTCACGCTCTGCCTCTCCTTCTCTCTCAAGGATAAATAAACATTAAAAAAAGAAATTTAAAAAAAGAGAAAGAAATGGTATCTGGGGCGCCTGGGTAGCTCAGTTGGTTAAATATCTGACATTGGCTCAGGTCATTATCTTACGGTTGCTGAGTTTGAGCCCCTTATCAGTGCAAAGCCTTCTTTGGATCCTCTGTCTCCCCCTTCTCTGCCCCCCTCTAAAAAATAAATAAAGATATTTTTAAAAATGGTATCTATGGTTGAAAGTTATCATGATATTCTCTGTATTTATTGCGGGTTTGGGTTTGAAATAGTTAAAACCAGCCACCATTTTAAAAGTATTTGACAAGCATTGGTCTGTACCTTTGGTGAGTCTTCTGTTTCTTTGTTTCTTAGAGAGTCAAATTTTGACTGTCAAGAGGAAAAGGAAAATAGTCTTAGACATTTTATGCACTCAAAAACAGTTGTGGCAGGTATCTTATTTAAATGATATACAGTAAGAGTTAATTTCTATGAAGCATTTCTGAGATGCTTTTATTATATTAATAACAACTCAAACTGATGTTGATTATAGGATTTCTAGTAATCCTAATCTAACACATATATATCTCCTCTTATACTATATGACTAGCCTCTTATAACATATGATACTCCTTCTCAAGACCTTCAGGCCTTTTAAAAATATTAAAATTTTTTAAAATTTTTATTTATTTTGAGGGAGAGAGAGAGACAGAATGTGAGCAGGGTAGAATCAGAGAGAGAGGGAGACACAGAATCCGTAGAAGGCTCCAGGCTCTGAGCTGTCAGCACAGAGCCCGACGCAGGGCTCAAACTCATGAACCACTAGATCATGACCTGAGCTGAATAAAGTCTAATCCTCAACCAACTGAGCCACCCAGGTGCCCTGCCTTTTAAAAATATTTTAAGGCAGCTTCTAGTCTCTTTGTAACCTCCTTTTTCCTCTTAAAGACCATTAAGCTTCTTATAGATAACTGTAATGCCCCCCAGCAGAAAGATAGCATATAAGATAGTTATAATGAAGGATCTCTTATTCCCATATTACTGGTTATAAAGAGGAAACATTGTAAGTTGTGTACTCCAGTTAATAATTTCACTGATGAAAATTTACACTTATACAGACTACTTCTGCAGGTGGTGTTTCCTGCAGATGTACAGGAGGATGTTAATTAGGTGAGCTAATTCTGAGGCTCATGTGTGGAGAGGTGAAAATTATTTCCTTATAATATTCAAGGCTGTAGGAACATCTAGAGCAAGGAAATTTGACTTACTTTGGAGAGGACCACGAAGATCCCAAGAAGAACGGTAATGTAGATAGAGAGCAGTGAGAGAACAGCTATCAGGAGACTGTGGAGTCCCTTCATCTCTTTGTTAATTACAAAAACAGAAAAAAACGCAGTCACTATTGAAACATACTATTGCAAGCACATATATAAAGTATAACTGGAGCTACAAGTGTTAAAGGTAGGACATGAACTTGCTCTGTTTGGCTGTTTGTGTAAAAATTTATTTTTATATAAAAATGTCAGGGGTAGCTGAGTACTTGCTATAAGCCAGACACCATCAAAAGTGCTTTGTGTGTACTAACTCATTTATAATTTATCTTATAGGTGAGAATAAACTAAGGTTAAATGACAGTGGGGATACCAAAAGCCCATTAGAACACTCCTGGTAATTAAAAGCAGGAATTATAATACAGGATGATCTCAGGTTGTCCCTAACGTCCTATTTTGGAATTTTGAGTTGATTTGTTGATTTGAGTTAATATTTTAATGATCTTAGTGCTCATCATACCAGAGGCATTTTTAAAGGAAGAGGTCAGGAAAAGTCAAGGATTTATTTCCCTTCTCTGTGTGAAGCTTTTTTCCTGAAATTTCTTAATATCTTGATTTGTAAGATGTACCTAGGTTCAGTATCCTCACTTGAATAAGGAAAATGGTCATAGGTTTTTAGCAAATCTCAAGAAGCCAGAGTCACACTGATCCCATTCTGTTCTTCTGTCCATGCAGAATGGGTTCAATCAGAAGTCTCCCTGTGGCTTTCCTCAAATTTGTGTTTATTCTCCATATTGCATTTTTTTCCTGGGTCCAATTTGTTGGTCACTTATGCTTTGTTCTAGATGGTGCAGTGCCAGCCCAATTTCTGCACAAGCTGTTTGCTAATCACCCCAAGTTTCTCTTTGGACCTGGCACATTACTAATCACTGCCATTCACCAAAGGAGGACCCGTGGGCCTGCCTTCACTAGCAGAGTCTAGTGAAGAGACACCGAAAAGGAGAGCGACACCCGACATAGTCCTGACTGTGTCTGTGCAGGCTGGGGATGGGGCTGGAGAGTAGTGCTTCAATCCAGACTTGCTGTCGGCTCGTATCAGATCATGCCCTTCACTGGCTAGGGGATTGAATTAGCACATTTATCTCATACTCTCCACATATAAGTAATTTCATGCATTTAAAGAGCCAAGCAAAGCCTTAGCTGACTGACCTCTTACCACCAGCACGGTCCCTTCTCCAGTCCGCTTGGCTCCTGGATGCTTTGAAAGGGGAAGGGCTATTCCGCAGATGTAGATCGCACTGTCGTTGAGAGTCACCCTGTTCACAGTGAGGGAAACCTGATTTTGTGTCAGGGCTTCCTTCACTGTGAACTTGCCCGCATCGCTGGTGCATCCGTCCACGCAGAGGCTCTCCGGCTGGTGAGCTCCATAGCGAAACCACAGGCTTCTTGGTTGCTCTTCAGGGCACCCCACATGGGAGAAGGAACACTGAATGGTTATGGCCTCTTGGGTGTGGGCCACTTCAAGGTAGGGTGGTTGAGAGACTGAGACTATGCAGTCACTAGCAACACCTGTGGGTGGAAGCAAACGAGCCATATTTAGTGGACTTTTCACTTCCCTTTGCCTGTGCTTTTATTTAACTGAAATTTTGGGGCTAGGGAACCCCAAACAAATTCTTTTTTCTTTCCCCGTTCTCAGCACAAGTGAGACTATTAATAAGACCCTAGTGGTTCTCAGTTTTCCTGACTCCCCACATTTCCTGACCTTCACCTGCTGGTTTGCTGTGACATCTGATTACTTGAGGACAGAGAGGTGCCAGTGGAATCAGCATTGCAGGCTGAGATGGCCACAGATCCGGAGTCAGGAAATTGGGGTCCCCATGTTTACTCCTGGTGGTCTCACAAGCTTTCCTTTGATCTCTCAGAGCCTGTTTCCTCTGTACCTCTGGCCTCACAGTGTTGTAGTCAGTGTGGTAACGGGTATCAAAGCCTCTCATGCAGGTGTCACTGCTGATGACTGAGCACAGGACACAGGAGCACAAGGGAATTTTTTTTTTCTGCCTTGGTGGGGGTTGGGATTGCTAGGAATTCATGGCAGTTCACAATTGTTCCTTTGTAAGCCTGGCTGTCCCTACGGGAAACAGAAAAAACAAGGTGTACACCTGGGGAAATACATCCCTGGCTTAGCCTACAGTGTATTTGGTTACTGAGCAGGGGCCTAGTGAGCTAGCTTGGTCACAGCTAAGCAGACATGATTTCTTCCCAGCACTGGTGCCGTACTTTGTAGTCCCTAACAGCTTCTATCTTGTTCGATGAAAAATGTTGTGATAAAGAGCACAGACTTGAGTTCGGATCCTAGCTCTGTGGTGTGTAGCAGAGTGAGGAAGTATATGCAGCTTGTGGAGTTAGTGTGAAGTTTAGTGAGACCATTGATGCATAAGGAATGTTTCCTTGGCCAAGTCTTTTTTTTTTTTTGGAATTTTTAAAAATGTTTTTATTTCTGAGAGAGAGAGAGAGAGACAGTGTGAGCAGGGAAGGGTCAGAGAGAGGGAAACACAGAATCTGAGCTGTCAGCACAGAGCCCAACATGGAGCTTGAACCCACAAACCGTGAGATCATGACCTGAGCCGAAGTCGGATGCTTAACTGACTAAGCCACCCAGGCGCTCCTCCTTGGCTAAGTCTTAATAAGCACTTGAAAGGCTATTTCTGCTGCCACTGTTCTCACCACTTGTGTTCCCATGATGTTAGATGCCCATTTTAGAGATAATTTTGGGCATCTCCGCAGGTGTCAGCAAGACTGGGAGTAGACACCCACCCAGAGTCTACTGGTCTCTTTGCTGTGCACTTTAGCCAAGTTACACCGGCTGGGTCCCCACCTTGGCCTTCTGATCTTGGCCCTGTGAGTTGGAAAGCCAGCCTGGAATTTCTAAATGGGAAGATCTGCCCTGAACCGTTTTTGGGGTAAAGGAGGGCCTACATAAAATAGTATTAGTCGAAACAAATTGGAATTTATGCAGGTGTTTAGCCTGACTTCTGTCTGGTTATGTGTTCCACATGGTCTTATTTGTCTGAATTTGTCCTTTCCTGCTGTAAATGAAATTGAAAAGTAATCCAGTGTTCTGATGGTTGAATTTCAGACAAGTTTTTTGTTTTGTTTTGTTTTTAACTTAACAGTTTTCCTATACTCTTTATCCAGAAGAGAAATTGAAATTTGAATCTTGGCGTTTGTGATGCATATATATTCTCACCATGGTTTTAGTATATGTACAGTTTGAAATGAGTTGGGAGTGTAGGCCGGAACAGAGGGGAAGGCCACCTGGAGAATCCAGCAGGCTTGTCGCTGGTCGTCAGCTGAGGGATTGGGTTCACTCCCGTCTCCTACTCAGAGACGCCCCCTAGAAGTACAAACACTTCCGCAAAGAATAATCCTCAGTCTGTACTGGGGATTTGAAATGGAGCCGGGCCCAGCACGGTGTAACAGTCTGAAGTTCGGTTGAATTCAGGTAGCCTTTTAAAAGGGAAGCTGACTTTTAAACATTTTGAAGAACTAAGGCCCCAGGGAGAAAGAAATATTTGCAACTTTGGAGTTGCATATCTCCAGTATTTCCGAATTGTACCCGGTCAGTCTGAGAGCGGTTGGTCTGCGAGATGAGAGCCGTCAGCAGTTTCCTCTGTGAGCGCCTGACTGGTGAGGAAACCGTCGCCCCTCCCCCACGCCAGTTAAGCAACATCTTCACAAAAGAGAGAAGTTTGGATAACGGGTCACCTCAAGTCTGGTCCTACAAAAGTCTCTTTAAGAATTCTCATATTCTATAGGATTTTCTCTCTCTCTCTCTCTCCCCCCTCCTTCTCTCTCTCTCTTTTTAAATGCAGGACCCCCTGAATTATCTTACTGTTGGAGGGAATAAAAAAAAGATCACTTTACTGTGATCCAAGCTGGAAAATAAATAGGAAACTGATTCGACACTTATTACGGAGAATTTCAAGGGTAGGCAGAAGTAGCAAGCTAGCATGATGAGCCACCCCTGCTCTTCCTTGTCCCAGAGTTGTCCATCTCCCCCCCACCTCCCCGCCTGCTCCTTCTCGGTTTTAGATAAATCTTAGTTATCCTCTCTTCACATCTGTAAGAGGATATCTTTAAAAGATAAAGGTTCTTCTTTAAAATAACACCAACAAAAATAGTTTATGAAAGCCATATATACGGATTAGAAAAAAAATCAGAGTACTATTTAAATCACCCACAGTCCTTTTGCCCAAAATAACCACTGTTAACATTTTGATGTATTTCTTTACAGATGAGAAAAGAAATTAATTTTAAGAACTTTTGCCACCTTCCCTGTCCTATGACCCAGACTTTGTGAGCAACTCTGAGATTATTAGCTTTATCACAACTATGATAAGATAGATTATGAGAGCCACTTTCTCTTTCCTAGAGAAAAAAAAACAGTATAGACATAATTTTAAAAATAGATATGGGATGGTTATGCTGTATGGAAGGCAGCTTTTTTTTTTTTTAAATAAGAAGTACTTTTAAAATTTGCACCACTTTGGCTTTTTAAAAACATTGCTCTTTGAAAATATTCAGCAGATATTGTTCAGTGCCTCTCATGTGCAACGTGTTTGCCTGTGTGGAAACTACATTGTTGATGACCAGCACATGCGATTTTTAAAAAGATTTTTTTTAAATGTTTATTTATTTTTGGAAAAGAGAGAGAGAACACGCACAAGCAGGGGAGAGCAGAGAGAGGGAGACACAGAATCCAGAGCAAGCCCTGTGCTGTCAGCACAGTGCCCAGTGCGGGGCTTAAACCCACAAACCATGAGATCATGACCTGATCCGAAGTTGGACACCTACCCGTCCTAGCCACCCAGGCGCCCCGCAGCACATGCAATTTTAAGAACATTTTCAAACCCTGTTTTTTTGAGGTGCTCTCCTCTAAGGCAACAAAGGGAATTTTTGAGGTTAATCTGAAACTTCTTCTCAGCTATTATTTTATTAACCTCTTTCTTTTGGGGGGAAAAAGATCATCTCCATAGTGTTAGACATTTAAAAACTAATCTGTAGGGGCTTAAAATATAAATGCATTAGGTGAGAAATAGCAATTGATTAAATAAAATGGAGGAGAAAGAAAAGACCTTACCGACATAAAAGAGAATCAGATTGATTTCCAGGCCGAGGATGGTCTTGCCTCTCTTCAGAGTCTCCATTTCTGGAGTTGTGTGTGCGCGTGTGGTGGTGGGAATGTGTGTTTGAAAAGAGTTGGCTTTTTTTTTTTTTTTCCCTCTCTCTCTTTTTCTTTAGAAAGGAACAACTGAAGAGAGGAACTCTTACTAAGGAACCACAATCGGGAACTTTGTGAAATTGTGTAAAGATTGTTTGTAACCCAGTTTCACCATTGAAAGTTGAGATTTTAGCCCAGAGCACATTTCTAAATGTTCAGGTGATAGATTTTTTTCTTAGATTTTACAGATCCTCATAGATGTTAGGTGTTTTAAGTGGGATTTGGTTTCCATGTAGTGTGTATTCCCAGGAAAGGGCCTTGTTTGACAGCTAATTTGTGCTTTAAACTTCCAGAGTAATTTGGTCGCTGGCCCTGGGGCGCCTACTGTGTGCCCGATGCTGGGCCAGTAACTGCTGGCAAGCTAGAAGAAGCAGAAGGAAGTGTCTTCATATAGAGACAAGCGAAACATTAGTGACATTCGTGGGACAATGAAGAACTGTGTTTCATGACAGTAACTAGTTCTCCCTTAGTTTTGTGTAATCCCTTTGTGCTGTGTTGTTGGAATAAAGCATGGGCCCTCTGTTGCACCTACCTCTTCTCCCCTCCTGACCCATGGAGGCCTTATCAGTCAGGTTTTTCCCTTGGAGGCAGCAGATACTGACTCCAACTGACTTAAGTGAAAGGGAATTTATTGAAAGGATTCAGGGGGAAGGGGAGGGGCTCACATAGTCACTAGGAAGACTGGAGAATTGTGTGGGGTCTGTAGCCAAGCAATAGATACCACGGCATGGACTACACTCTGTTGTTCATTCCACTTGATGCTGCCCTAGCTGCTGGGTCTCATGGCCATTCCCCCCGCCCCCTGAAAAGGAGCCTAAGTCTCACTTTTCTCAGTCACTAGCTTTTCATTTCATGTCTCAGGTGAGTGTGTCTGAGCTTAGGTCATGTGCCAATGCCTTAGCTGTAGGAACAGCGGGGGAAGACTGCTTCCCCAGGCTTTGCCTCCCCCCATAAGACTCTAGGAAGAGGGTCCAGGTCCTGGGACGCCAAGAAGAGTGAAAACTCTTTCCACTGTAGTACTTGTACTCTAGGCACCTATTGGTCTTCTATTTTCTCACAGAGAGTTATTCTCTGTCAGAATTTAGTAATATTTTTAATATGTGCTCACAATACCTTAAAGCACCCCAGAATTTACATATACCATTATTTGTGTGTGTCTGTGTGTCTGTAGTCACTGCTTGGTGTGAACTTGAAGACCTGAAGACCTTATCCAGCCAACCCCCCCCTCCACCCCCATTCAGGCATCTGAAATAACTGTACAGATTTCACCCACTATTCCAAGAAATGCTAGGCTGACTCACCCTTTCTAGTGTTCTACATCTCTCTGGTCTTGGAGCTTAACTTTCATAGAATTGTTACAAAAAGTTAAAGAGAGTGAATCAGCTTCCTTGAAAAACACACTGATGATCTGTCTTTGTAAATTAAAAGCCTTCATTAGTCTATTTACAGCCTGATAAACCTTTCTAGTCAGTACATTGCATACATATACTAGATCAGGAGTATATTTTCTTGCATTTGTCTCAAACCTTCTTTTACATTTTATGAGTAACTCTCTGCTTCCATATTCTAGTACTTACAGAGCAATTTTCCAAGACCCATTAACTATTACAACCCAGTTGATCTAACGGAGGCTAATATCTAAAACTGTCAGGGAGGGTAAAAGTATGGGCTTTGGATCGAGATAAACCTCGGATTACATTTCTGCTCTTACCCTCAGGAACCTGCAAGCTTGGATGAGTTCCTCAGCACTCCCCCCGCCCCCTCAAACTTCAGCTTTTTGTCTTCATGCCTCAGGGGGAGCCAGGGAGATGACTCATCAAAGCACCCAGTGTTTGGCACCTAACAACCCCTTCTTCCCTTCTCTCTTTAAATAAGTTGTTTGTTCAAGAATTTAACTTAATGTTTCTATTTGTTTTAGTAGGTGGCAAGTGGGAGAAGCCATCAGAAATTTTAGAAATCAAGGGACAGAACTGGGAAGAACAAGTGAATAGTCTGCCTGAAGTTTTCAGAAAAGCTGGTTTTGTTATCGAAGCTTTCACCAGACTACCATACCTGTGTGAAGGCGACATGTACAATGACTACTACGTCCTGGATGATGCCGTCTTTGTTCTTAAACCAGTATAAACACGTGGAGCCCCACGTCTTCAGAGCCCACCCCAAGAATGTACACTTCAGAAGAGGGTCTGCGTTGTGATTATGTAAAAGGAGGACCTTTGGGGACTGCCATTCTAAATATCATGTAGGAATTTAAAAAGCCAAAATACTAATTATTTCTTTGTAGTGTGTAAAAGGAATGTTTTTAAAAAACAAAAGCCCAACTCTTTGACGATTTTTATCAACTCTTTACTCAGTAAATACAGGCCACACTCCAATTATGGAAGATATTTTTTATACTTAATTGCAGTAGGGACTCATTCCCAGTCAAAGCAATAGTCACGACTTCACATGGAACCAATAAATATGGATGTTTTAATAAAATGAAGACTGGCAATAAAGCTGTCCATTTGATTGCAAATATTTGGTTATAAGGTATAGCCACTGATACTCTTTCATGTTTAGAAATTCTTTGTCATTATTCAAAAAAATGTTTTTAATCATGCTAATAAACTTTTTTGGAGATGACTCTGGCATCCTGTTTGAGTGGATGTAAGGCTCCCGTAGGATCTTCTTTTGCTTTGGCTTCAGGGATGCCCAAATAGTAGCATTGTGTGCAAGGTCTCGGTTGACTTGCAGTAAAGAAAGGCTTCACTGGGTGGGAGCCGGGAGGATTATTGCAAATTGTGGTGAACCCTGAGGCAGTCTAGACTAACCCTCAAACAACCTCATTCAGATCTCATACTTCAGGGATCACTCCCCACCCCCATGGCCTGTTGCTTTGGCAAATGCAAAACATTGGCTTCTGGCTCTGTGATAACTTCCATCCTACTCAGAATTTTTGTTTTTCTGGACGATCTCAGGCTCTCAGAATTGAAACATTCACTTGTGTCTTCTGACAAAATGCAATCTACCTAAAAATGTTTTAGTTCAGCTTCTTACTCCACACATGTATACCTCTTTCCCAGAACCTGGTTCTTCCTGAAATCCTTCACTGACTTTATTTGCCAAGAATATGGATTGATGAAGAAAGACCATGTCAGACTTATACATTCTAGAATCCGTGAGCGCCTCCAACCATATACCCACAAATGTTGCAATAGAGGAACTCATTATCAAGATCAATAACCATTGTGCGTATTCCAAAGAGAGCAGAGCACTTAACCCAGAATCTAAAATCTCAGTAATAACAGAGATGCAGATTCGAGATTGTGGTTATTAACAATATGTTATTCGCACGACTTTATTCCTTTTTTTTCCAGCCAGGTGTTTCATTAAATATTCTCATTTATATGCTCATAGAAGTCATCAAGTCAACACATTTACTGAAACACCTGGGTATAAAGGAGAATTAAATCCTTGAGAAGAATTACTTTATTATTCATTAAGAACAGCATTCCCACATCCTCACACCAATATCTTTCACTGTTATCATGTTGTCATAAGGAGAGTTGGGTTATATGATTTATGCAAAATTGTTATTGGTGCATTCTAGTGCTTTTTCCTCCAGGAATTCAAATAAGTGAAGTGCAAATACTTAGCACCCTAGATTATAAAAATAGAGGAAATGAGTGAACTTAATGTAGTTATTACATCATTGAGTTTTGTTTCTTTACAAATTGCCATAATCTTGCTGTTTAGACTGTCAAACAAGAGTGCAAGAGTGATGGATATTCAAAGAGGCAGGTTGCTGCAAAGTTTTATAATTTTGAAATTAAGAATTAATTTGATGGTCTATTAAAAAAATAAAAACCTCTCTTCTTTATCAAAAAAAAAGCAGGGCAAGCACATTCATTTATGCATGGCACAGATACAAATTGTTTCTCAATCTGAGGTTCTCTGAAGACCAGCATATTAAAAGTTCCGTTTTATGATGAAAATTTAAACAATCAAATTCTGATCACATTTGCTAACCTGGTCTTGAAAATCCTGCTGGGGTGTCACCACTCCACTAGGTGGCAGTATTGCTTACTGAGTATTCAAGGCTTTTTTTTTTCCCCACCTGAATGGAATCTTGTTTTTTTCCCCGAAGTACAATAAAGCTGCCTTCTTTTCTGCACCATTCCTTGTTTAAGTGCTTCATATCAAGTTTAAGGTTGTGCTAGAGAAATTAGGAGCTCTATGTGTGGTCAAAGCAAGTTAACCTATTGATCTGGAAGGTCATGGGGAAAGTCAAGGCAAGCTGCACCTGTTCCCAGCCCCTCTTACCTGCAGTGTAAACCCCTTGAGACTTCAGGCTGCTGATTACAAAGGAGGGAAGGAGAGAAGGTACAATACCCGCAGTCATTGCTCCCTTGTGCAGAGTAGTTACCAGTGATAGTATATTTTACCCTTCTGTATATCTTCCCAGTTTTTACAGAGTTGACCTTCAATAGAAAAGACGCTGGGCTGGGAAACAAAGTAAAACTTAGTTGTTTCAAGTCTTCTTTCTTTCTTTTTTAAAAAAAAATTTAAATGTTTATCTATTTTTCTTTTTTTGAGAGAGAGAGAGCAAGCAGGGGAGGGATAGAGAGAGGGAGACACAGAATCTGAAGCAGGCTCCAGGCTCTGAGCTGTTAGCACAGAGACCGACGTGGGGCTCAAACCCATGAACTATGAGATCATGACCTGAGCCAAAGATGGATGCTTAACTGACTGAGCCACCCAGGCACCCCTTAAGTTCTTTTTCTGATTAAAGCTTTATTTTCACTTGGTTCTGAACACAGTGTTTAAATAGACTCATACTGAAGATGTTTTCATCAGTTGCTTCCCCACTACTTGATTACTGATAGAAAAATGTTTCATGATCCTCTTTTCTAACAACTATAGCACATATTCAGCGTGGACCTTCAGTGGCTGAAGTGATCTGCACATTTGTGCAGATGGCTAAGTACCGCCCAAATAAGCTTCTAGCCAGTGCATGCACATCCTGGCTGG